TTCTTGGTTCAAGTTCAGACTTCTTCCATGGGGGTCAAAGGTTATTTTATTCACGTGTGACAAAATGCACCTGTATTATAGACTCAGTGTTATCAGGAGGGCTCCAAAGTCTAAATGCATTATTTTAATTCTCTCATGAAATGGAAATAATATTGACTAGATCTAGAATATAATTTGCTAGTCACTGGTTTCAGAAGTCTTGCGTGACAGGCTAAGTGAAGGTCAGTTTGAATTGGTTTGTTGAGTCTCGGGCTAAGTAACCACTATGTAGAGATTGGTTTGCCTGCTGGGAGTATGGAGAGAGTTTTTAGGAAAGTAAGAAGTAGTAGCCAGAGATTAAGGTCAAAGGCCTAAGAGCTGTTGGCAGAACTCACACTTACTTCCTGGAGTTGTCTATCAAAGGCAGCACATCAGGTCATGGACTTTGAAGTCCTAGAAAATAATGAGATGAGAGGAGAGAATTGGCACATAGCCACAGAAGCTGCTGCATTGATATTGGGCTCTGCAGATCCTTGCTGTGCCCAGTTCCAGGGCAGAACCTTAGAGATATAAAGGCTTAAAGGACAGATTTCAAAACTGGGCACATGCAATAGGTGCTAAGTGGGAGGCTGCTGTAGACTTAGGGCTCCACATCAGAGCATTTAGAAAATGGGAACGGAGTAACCTTTAGTAGACAATCACTAAATTTCACTTGATCACAAATAGGCAGAAGCCTACATCTTGTCTGCATGTTCTCTCATTGGCTCAGGGACTGTGGTGGGCAGCCTTTAGTGAAAGGTGGTCATGATGAGACTGTAGCCAGAACAGGAAGGAGGAAGCTCCATGATGAGCAGTTAAAAAAGCTCAAGCTTGGTGCCAGTGGAGCTATGTTCAAAACTGGGGTCTAACATTTCTCATTTGCACAGCTTACCCAATATCTCTAAACTTTAGGTTTAGTTTTCTTAGCTATAAAATGAGAATAATGGTACCAAACTGAAAGGATTGTTATGGAAATAAAGGGTCTTATTTAATAGAACTTTCTCTGATGGTAGATGTGGTAGATGTGTTTTAGAATCTGCACTGTCCAATATGATAGCGTCTAGCCACATGGGGTTCCAGTAGGGTGACCAGATTTTAACATCGGTAAGGCGAGACAACATGGCCAGGGGGTGGGGGTGGGGGTGGGGAGGGTTGGGCGGGATGGGGGCGGACCTGACAACAATGCAAACTTTGATAAGCAGTTCTCTAATCACTTCTCAACAATTATTTGTTATTATTACAGTTTAACATTATAAAATTAACAAAAATAATATAAAACTCATATTCTGGTGAATTAGCCACACGGCAGCTGAAAACAGTATATTCCCTTCTTGTTCTCTTGCCCATTTGTGCATTCTTTCCAAAAATTGGGACTTTTTAAAAATGCTGTGGGACACAGGACAAATTGTTGAAAAGTGGGACTGTCCTGCCAAAAGCGGGACGTCTGGTCACCCTAGGTTACAGAGCAGTTGAAATCTGGCTGGTAAAAATGAGAAACTGAATTTTAATTTCATTTAGATTTTTATTAATTTAAATTTAAATAATCGTATAGAGCTAGTATCTAGTCTATTGGACAGCATAGCTAGAGATGATAGCAGTTATTAAAAACTATCTACTTGGAATATGAAAGTTAACTTTTTATAATTTCTGTTGTGAACCAGAGTGGAATTGGTGGGGAATGAGGAAAATACAGCACAAGAGAAGACACGGAAACAAAGGATGGGGTTGGGAGGACTGACTGAGCTAGTGGCTACAGCCAGCCCCAAAGCACAAAATCAGGTTTATTTTATAGTGTCTTTACAGTAAGGTGACCAGACGTCTCGCTTTTGGCAGGACAGTCCCAATTTTTAACAATTTGCCCCATGTCCCATGGCATTTTAAAAAAGTCCCAATTTTGGAAAGAAGGCATGACAAGCTAGGGAACAGCAGGAGAATGGGAAGGGAATATATGGTTTTCAGCTGCTGAAAAGGTTAATGTAACTCCATTTGGGAATAAAGAGGTCAATGCACCTTCATTTAGAAATGAAAAGGCTAATGTAAACTCCCTAGTGCCCTCCTGGGCAAGGTATCAGAAGGAGACTGGCTCCCTCCCTTGCTTCTAGTAGCCCTCCCAGAGTAAGGTGACCAGATGTCCTGATTTTGGCGAGACAGTCCTGATTTTTAACAATTTGTCCTGCATCCTATGGTGTTTTAAAAAAGCCCTGATTTTTGGAAAGAATGCATGACAAGCTAGGGAAGATGGGAGAACAGGAAGGGAATATACAGTTTTCAGCTGCCATGTGGCTATTTTGCCAGGATATGCGTTTTATATTATTTTGTTAATTTTATAATGTTAAACTTTAATAATAACAAATAATTGTTGAGAAGTGATTATTGAGAACTGCTTATCAGGCTCGGTGCCTGTGGCTCAAGCAGCTAAGGCGCCAGCCATGTACACCTAAGGTGGCAGGTTCAAATCCAGCCCGGGCCCGCCAAACAACGATGGCTGCAACCAAAAAATAGCCAGGCATTGTGATGGGTGCCTGTGGTCCCAGCTCCTTGGGAGGCAGAGGTGGGAGACTTGCTTGAGCCCAGGAGCTGGAGGTTGCTGTGAGCGGTGATGTCATAGCACTCTACCCAGGGGGACAGCTTGAGGTTCTGTCTCAAAAAAAAAAAGAGAACTGCTTATCAAAGTTTGCATTGTTGTCAGACCACGCCCCCCCAATGGTGTCCTGCTTTACCAATGTTAAAATCTGGTCGGCTTACTTTACAGGGCTGTTCAGGGGGAGGTAGCATAGACAACATGGGGAAATAGCATAGTTTTGGTCTCACAGTACAATATGAAAATGTAAATGACTTTAACAAAGACAAATCTTGTTAATGGTTTCTGCTCAACTTCATTAACATATGACAAGAGGTAAAAAGGGCAGGATCACAAAGATCTCAGCATAGTTGACAAAACAAAGAAAGAACTATGCGACTTGAAGGTAACTACTTTGTTAGCATAAGACAAGGAGAAAGAAGGGAGGGATCTCAAGGATTTCTGGATAGTCAACTGGACAAAAAGAGAGCTATGTGACTTTTGGCAGAGGGAGCATGAAGAAAGGAAAATGGCTGTTTTGGGAATGGAGGAGAAGCAGTTGGGGGTTTATTCTCTAAATGTTGCCCAGGCTGTGAGGGCTCTGTTGTCTCACAGCCTACTCTCCACAAATTTCCTCTACTGATACTGTTATGTCTGAAAAATTCCCCCAAGTTGCCCCAGCAGACAAACCTGAGACACACTCCGATGTAAAAAACAAAAGGTGAGTTTTATCCAGACCCGGGTCTGGACTCTCCTGGCATGCAAGCCGAGGAAGAGCCTCGAACCCGAGTGGAGCAAGTTTTTATGGGGTACAGAAAGCAAGAAGGGTAGGGTCCGGTACGAGTACACTTTTTGATTGGTGGTTGGTGATATCATTAGTAAAGGAGGAAGTAAAGGAGGATTTGCATTGGTAGCTGATGATTTCACTAGTAAAAGTGAATTTGGATTGGTACAGGTGAGAGGTGGGGGAGTCCCTTAACCGGGGGCTAGAGTTGGTGTAGCCTGATTACCTGTATTTCAAGGTAATAGAAACTTATTGTTTATTATAGCAGCTGTTTGCCTAAGGTGACTCAATTTACGGCTCAGTGGCTGCAACCTGGGGTGGGGGAGAGGCAGCAGGGAGTGGCCCTGCAGGTTTCACTGGCAGAGGTTGGGGCGGAAGGGCTAGGGATGGAACTTATGCAGTAAACAGCCAGGAATGGGGCTTGTGCTGTAAACAGCCAAGAATGGGGCTTGTGCTGTAAACAACAAAATGGAGCTAGTTTGGCTCTCACAATACCCTTTCTCAGTCACTTATATTTGAGCATGTTATGTGCCATATGATATGCAGTGAAGTATACAGCAATGTCTCTATCTTGGAGGAAAGAAAACTAATGAAAATTTAAATAAGCAGAGAGAAAAATACAGAAATATAATAGAATTCCATAATACACCTTAATTTTAATTACAAAAGAATTACACCAAGTGTAGAGGACTCCAGAGAAGTAAGCACACTTTTTAGATGGCAAGACTAATAAAGCTGGTTATTGTTGTGTGTTACACATTTTGGATAGGTAGAAAGACAGCAAGGAAAATTTCAGGTGGAGACACGGTGGAAATAAAATAGGAAGGTAGGAACCTGGGAGATATGATCAGGGCCCAGTGAGTAGGCTAATTTGTTGGAATATGGAGGTAGGTTGGAAGACAACATCAAATTGGAAAGGAAGATTGGAGTAACATGGTTTGAATTCATGGGGGAAAATCTTGGGATTTATCTTTCATATGGTGAAAATGTGGTGACTAAAGGACTTGAGCTAAAAAGCAACATAATTGGTGTCTTGTTTTAGAAAATTACTTTCCTAAATGTGTGAAAAACAGAGAAATGAGTTAGAAAGCTATTAAACTAGTCTAAGTGAGAGGTAAGAGGTTTCTAAACCAGGAGGATGGCCACAGAAATAGAAGGAAAACAATGATGGTTAGATGAAAATCCTATAAGAGAATTCAGAGATTATTGGTAGATATTGCGGATGAATTGGGATATGATTCTGGAGGCACTGGGAAAGGTGAGATAAGAAATGACTCCAGAGTGGACTGCAACATTAGCTGGGGGTGGGAGAGTGAGTTCAATTTAAAATATAGGCTGGTGGGAGATGGGGACAGAGGAATCACACTATAGCCCTGAAGTGAATTAGAAGGTTCCAAAAGGAAACTGAGTCATGTGATAGTTAGGTACCAAGAAATTGCTGGAAGAAATTGTCATTATCAATATTATACATTTTAGTGATATATTTCAAAAGTAACTTGAAAAAAAAAAGTAAAAAAAAAGTAACTTGAACCAAAACTTAATCTGAAAACATAAGTATACTCATATGAGGACTGAAGCATTTAAAATGTTAGCACATGATTGTAGAAAACTCTAATGTGATAATAATTGACAGTGATATTAGGATTGTAGCTGGCAATTTACTGAGTTTCCCTGCATCCACATTGCCACCCTGCTCCCACTCTCCTCCTTGCCCCTAAACTTGACTAGCTCTACCAATTGTCTGTTTACTTTATTTCATTTTTTTAGTAGCGTGAACAACAGCAAACATAATCAACAACTAGTCTAAACCTAAATTTACTATCATTTGGTCTGAGTCTTAAACTGTTACTGTTAACCCAATATGTTGGGTAATAACTAAGAAATTTTTAGTTCCTTTTCTTCTTTACTAGAGTTGGAAGTGGAAAGTGAGGCTGGTATCAGCCATTTTCTCCTTGTAGTCTTCATCAAATCTCTCGTTCTGAGCCACAGTGAAGTGTTTCTTCCAGTCTCCCACGGTCCCTGGAACAGAGTCATATGGGAGAGTCAGTGATTCTCCTGCCTCCTGCCTCTGTGTGATGATTTCTCCTCCACCTTCCAGGAAGGTCAGTATTGGATAAAGTATTTTTCTTGCTAACCTGTGACCTTTTTAAACAAACAAACAAACAAACAAACAAACACACACCACCCCCAAACAGAGTCTTGCTCTGTCACCCTGGGTAGAGTGCTGTGGTGTAGCTCACAGTAACCTCAAACTCTTGGATGTGAGTGATCGATCCTCTTGCCTCAGCCTCCTATGTAGCTGGGACTACAGGCAGGCGTGTGCCTCCGCACCTGGCTAGTTTTTTTTTTCTATTTTTAGTAGAAACAGAGGTCTTTCTTTTACTCAGTCTAGTCTCTAACTCCTAAACTGAAGCAATTCACTCGCCTCAGCCTCCCAGAGTGCTAGGATTACAGGTGTGAGCCACAGTGCCCAGCCTAACCTGTGACTTTCTTATCCTGTAGGGAAGAAAGAAGAATTTCCTGTCTGAGTTGGAGAGACAGGGAGAGCCTGTTACCCACCTCCTAGCCACATTAGTGGGGGAATGAGACCACTGTGTTAAAAAAGCAGGCCCGAGGAGCTTTCCTGTCTTTCTCTGTGCCCTCCTGCACATTAAAGCATAGTAAGTACTCATGCCTGTAGCTCCCATGTATTAAGCTGATCAAGAAGCACCTGCTTCTGGGAAGTCTTAAGGTACAGCTTTGAGGAGGAAAAGAAATCCTCAGATTTTGCAATTTTCATCTATGTCACCTTTCCCAGTTTTATTTTTCTTACCATCATCCATCATCTTGTGTATTCTTATTGTTTATATTTTCTCATTATTAGACTATAATTTCCATGAAAGAAGGAATTTTTTTATTTTACTCACTTCTCCAAACCATGCATATAACAACACCTGGCACATAGAAACCCCTTAGTTAACACTTTGCGATCTGAAGAGAAACCAGAGTATATAACACTTTTGAATGAATGGCTTTAACCGATAGTGTAGGGCTTCCTATAAAATGGATTTTTTGCCCCATCTGACTTAATTATGTGTTTTTTCACCTTATCAGCCAGAACTCTGGAGGGACGGTGGGACTAGGTGGTTGGATTTAGACACCAAATCTCACTCTCCCACAGTGGCTGATTAAATATGGTTTTCATTTCATCAGTAGTTTCTTAAATACTTCTTTTTCCAAAATCATTCATTAAAGATAGTTATTTTTCCTAAGTATAAAAAACTCCTCAAACACTCTGAAATATTTGACAATTCTTTCAAGATTATGACCAAAATAAAATATAATAACCTTTTCTCATGAATGGAGAAATGGAGTGGTTCATGACTTCAGTAGGAATTGAGGAATAGTTTGCCATCGGATTCTGCTTCATAACATCAAATGAAGTGTGATGGACAATTTTTTCTAGAACTTCATCATCGAGTGTCTTTCCCATAAATTCTGCCAGCTTCTGAATTTCATGCTTTGGGTTCTATGATTCAAGTCAAAAGAAAAGTAAAGAGTTAATATAATTAGTTTAAAAAGAATATTGAAATGGATTTATGACAGTGACCAGTAATATGCCAGGAGTTAAAATTAAAAAAATTATCTTACAAATGCTCAACTTTCCAGAAATGAGTTATTTTAAAATGGTGCCCCATATTGTTCT